TTAATGATTTTTTAATCTGATGTATTCATATAATGTATGTTGCGATACATTATAAGAAATCACCTATATGAGTGTGAAGTGAGAGCCGCTTCTATGAGAATTATAAAGGCCAATTCTCTAGAACACTCACAAAACCAGGCAGGTGTCCAGGGCCAAAATGGGCACAACAATGAGGACCAACAATGTTAGGGAGGCAATTGTGCGACTCCTATTGTCTTGATGTACACAAAAGGTCGACGGTTCAAGTCATTATGACCACCGATTGATCGAGTACAATCGATAGGTTTCACTATAGAAGGTTCCAAGGTGACCCTTACCTATCTTGATGCAATTGTTTCTCATTGAGGAATGTCACTTTGCATTAATGTTCATTTGTATATGGACATGATGAATAAACTTTTTATTCATGTGGGGTATTGTTAGAATTTGTGTCTAAAATTTCATGGGTTATGAATAATAAGTAAATGAAGAAGAAGAGGAAAGGAGAAGATGAAAGGGTGTGTGGGTGAAGTCCCACATTGGACAAGTAAAGAGAGGTGAAAAAGGTTTATAAGCATTTACCTCACCTCTTATTTTGACCTTTAGGGGCACTCCACTTTTGTGGAGGAGAGAGGACGCAGGTGGGCCTTGGTCCACTACACACACACACGCGCATGTCGCTGCCATCCGGCCGGCTCGGTACAGTACGATACAGTTGCGTGTGTGTGAGAGAGAAATAAATAGTTTTTATTTAAATAGTTTTTTTTCCCAAAATACCCATGTCTTATCCATTGCTTCCCTCCAATTTTTTTCAAATCAAAACGTTACTCCCTGCCAAATTTTGAACTGGAATGGTGTGTTCGGTTATAACTGAACTGATACCGGTACCGGTTCGCTGCCGCCAGCAATGATGGTTCGTTGGTGGTTGTTCATCGTGTTTGATTAGTATCTATATATAAACACTAACCCCTTCAGAAAAATTGGATCTGAAATCTTTTCTGCCTCTTACTTCATGCATCCGTAGTTAAAACATTATGCCTTAGGATTAATGAGTGTGATTCCTCAAGCATTTAGTTGTATTCGTGGGGCTCTTGATTGATAGTACCATCATTTTTTAAACACAATCCGTTCTATCATGGGAGACAATTGTTCTTCAACCTTCGGCATCAATTGAGGGAACAAATTATTTTAAGGAGACAACATTTGTTGGGCTTGGATTTCTTCAAACTTTTGCATCATTCACGCGTCTGCTTTTCGGACTTATTGTGAGTTCTATTGATACTTTCTTTTATATATTTATCGTTAATATAGTATTGCTTCATCTAGACTTAACAGATTCTAACACTTGTGAAATTGGGTATATTTCAATTTCTAAATGTCTTACTCAATAACTGTATGGACGGTGTATAGGCGCTCATCGCCTTATGTTAAGAGTTTTTTAGAATTAAAGCATGAATATAGATTCATCAACTGCATTTAGGATAAGTCAACAATCAATATCTTTTAAACTTTTTCTCCTTAATGCTATGTTGGCATTAAAAAGAAAAAAACAGGATTAATATTGTGGACAAAGGACCATAAGTCTTGAAGTGTTGGTTAACCTATGTTAACTCTCTCTATATATATACTTTGCAAAACACCAAATAAATAAAAAAATCTTATGAATAATTAACTTAGGTTATGTAGAGGAATGGAGAAAAACTTTCGAAGCTATTCGCATAATTAAACTTTTACTATTGATTACCCGCAATTACTCTTTTAATACGAGATTAGTAAGCACGCCGTGTTTCCTAGACCGACATAATGAGAACAGCTGAAATGTTGGGAGGGGTGACAGATAGGGAGACCTTTTGAGAGATAATCTAAAGAGAAAAATTAATGTGTTATCAAAAAAAAAAAAAATTAATGTTAAAATATTTACAAAACTGTATTTTTTATAGCATCTTTAAAAAAAATTTCTCATAGTTTAAAACATATAAATAATTTCTTAGAACCTAAAAATATATTGTCCTTATAGACAATGGATTGGATTAAAATAATCTATTAAAAATATTTCAAAACTATAAAAATTCATTTATATTTTACAAACTATAAGCACTTATTTTATATTTTTGAAAAAAGTCAATGAACTTATAAATTAATTTCACGCACAGTTTGAAAATAAATTAACCTTACATCATTCATTAATCTTATGGATCTTTTCAATTAATTTATTTGTAAAATATACAAGTAAGATTTTTGTATTCTTAATTTTTAATGTAAAATTTCAACATTTTAAAATAAATTAAAGGTAAATACACTATTACTTGTGTATTTTAGGCATAGACTCATTTTAAAAGATTTTTTTCCTCTTTTTCATATTAGTGTATATAAATTTAATAAAGTGCTTCAAATTATTGAATTTGATCGAATGCGTGTCTATATTTTTTTCATGAAGATCAACTCAAAACATTTTCTGTTAATTCCTCAATAAAATTTTAAGAGAAAAATGTTTGTCATTTTAAATGACATAAAACTATGTCATTTTAAGAGAGAGAGATAGACTCAAAATAATATATTTTTATTTAAAATTTAAATTAAAAAAAATCACCCACTTTCTCTCCTATGATTTTCATTCCTTGTGTCTATCTCTCTCCTAAAAAGACATAACTTATGTCATTTAAAATGACAAACACCAAATCCAAATTTTAATTATTAAATGAGTATTATTTTACTATTTTAAAAATATTAAATGTATTAACTTTTAATTCAATATTTTTTTATTAAATATTATTGCAACTATTAAGAAGATAAAATTCAGAAAATAGATTGTATAATTTTACATGCAATTCAATTTAATTTAAAATAGTGTTTAATAATTTTAAGGTTTTAGTAACGTATTTTCTCAGTCATGTGTTAAGAAATTATTAATAAAAACTTAAGAAATATAAATATTTAATATAATGATGAGAATATTAAATATTTCACACTTTATTTTATAAATAATTATGTTCATTTAATAAAAAATAATAAACATTATTTTTATTTATTAACACTTGTCCTAACAAATTTCTAAATTTTAAATCAAATACCATTCATTAAGAATAATATTGTCAAAGTATTTTATGATTTCTCAGTAATTGATATGGACATTCCCTTTTATAAAATTGATTGTCAAATGTGTATTAACTACTGGTTATATTTATATTTTTATTTTAAATTTTGAAATATTTTGAGAGCAAGATATTTTTTTAATGTGTCAGTGAATGTTAACTATATCAGGTTTGTAAACAAACAGTAATTATTGATAAGAGATTTTTTTTATTTTACTACGAATAGACAAGAAATGTTATTCAAACAAATTATTATGATTCTAATAAATATTTAATTTTTCAGCTTAAATATGTTACAAATAAAGTTACTATAGTCACTTGAGTATAATATACATACAAAAGAATCTAGTGAGGTGGGAGTAATTGGTTTTTCTATTGTTTATCGCAAAACTTGCTTTATATCTGTACTACATTACAAAGAAAAGAAAGCTACAAACCCCATTGGAGGGTTGACCGTTGACTTCCCTTGAAGAAACTGTTGGCGCCATCTACGTTCTCTGAACATTTTGTCTGCCGTTCCGTTTTATGCCACTGCAGTGCATTTACCTTAACAAAAAATGGGTAACTCACAGGGGCAAATAGGTAATTAAGAAAAGATATGAGGGTAATTATGCACCCCACACCACAACACCACATGTCTCCTCAAAATAATAGAAAGTGCAAAGACGAAGGAACATAATAATACTCGCTGCATCATCCACTTCCACGCCCCCATGATTGCGCGTGTAACTCCCATACACAAAATCACAACTACCAAGTATTCACTCGTAACCATAGGCACGTGGATTACACGCCATACGATCCGGTTCGCTTACGCTTCAAAACCGGTGTAGTCAACCGGACCGCTGACATGTTAAGTGATTTATTTGATCTCATCTCGTTCTGTTAAGAGAACAAGGGTCCTTTGTTTATTTATTCAATAAGTACGCTTGTATTACAAGTCTATTTTTAAATTTAGATAAAATATAAAAAGTATATTAAAATAATATTTAAAAGTATAAAAATATGCTCAATTAATTAAATTAAAATATAAGAAGTTTAAATTAGAATAAAAAATTTAAAATTATAAAAAAGGTATGCATACATAATTTTAAAAAATAATTTATAATGTTAAGAAAGGATCCAACCAAGTTGTAGTGAACAATTTGTTTATGTACTTTCTTTGGGTGTAATTTTCTTATGAGGTTTGTTTTTCTCACGTCGTAGGAAAATAGTATATTTTTTTACACACATAAATATAGAAAGGAGAGAAAAAAGAATGGTAAGAAAAAATAAAAAAAAAGACCCATGTACTTTATGTGTCTGTAAGAAAGTGTTATTATTTTTCTATAATATGATATTTGTTTTTCCTTTTCTTTTATTTTCTTGTGGGAGTTAAATGCAATCCCTTCTGTTACCTTAGCCTTGAATCTATATTATTATTATTTATTAAATGCATGTAAATCTTAAAAAAGTGGAAAAACTAATGGTTAAGACTTTAGACACGGTTTATCATTCGCTTACTCTGAATATTGGATGCTTTTGAGATTTAAGGATTAATCGGCAAAAAATGGCAATGTATTATTAGGTTTAATACTAACAATATAGTTTTAGGGAAATCATTATCTCCTTCTACATGAGATAATAAGAACTTTTTTCTACACAAATTCGTTTTTCGTGCCAATTAATTTTTCTTTTCTTTTTTAATTTAAAATGTGAGACCCACATTTAATTTATCTCTACTTTTTTACTCTCCTACTATCCTACAACGTAAGAAAATATGCACCCATAGTTTTATTATAACTCGAACCAATAGGAGCAGGAGCAGGGCAACCCTCCGGTTTGGGGTTTAATTCTAAAAAAGCATTAAATAATGGAAGCAGGTGGCGACTGCTGAGTATATAATTCATGTCCTTATTATGTGAGGCCCTTTCCTCTTTTTCTAACTTTTGCTTTCTCTTCCCTCCCAATTTTCTCTCTTTTTTTTTTTTTATTTTAGTTTTTGGTCTCTGACCTAATTGTCTCTCTCCTGTTCTCATCAATATCATATCACCACTCATCTCCACCAAGCACCCTCCACAACCTAGAGAAGATCCCTCTAAATTTAGTGGGTCTTTCTCATCTTCTTTTGCCCCTCCACCAGCTAGATCTGTCTATAGACTCATTGTTTGACGAAAAAACACACTGGGAAGTTTTGGCATAGCTGACTCTAGAGGATAATCATCATCATCTAGCAGAGGAGAGAGAGAGAGAGAGTTTTTTTGATCAGGATGACTCCAGTTAATTTGGCAGGTCAGTTTGGTGACACCACATACACCAAAGTGTTTGTTGGAGGATTGGCTTGGGAGACTCAAAAAGAAACCATGAAGAAGTATTTTGAGCAATTTGGTGAGATCTTGGAGGCTGTTGTCATCACTGACAAAGCCACTGGAAGATCTAAAGGCTATGGATTTGTATGCTTAATTCTCTTCTCTCTATATGTATATATGTCTTTCGTTTGAATCCTTATTAATAATCATCGTATAAATAATATCATATATTCTATTATCGATTTAGTTTCTTATTACCATAGCTCGCTAGATCTCAAGTCTAAAATGAAGCATATGATAACACATGGGAAAACTGGCCTGTTATTATGCTTCTGTCAATTTCATCTTTCTTTTCATTCTTGAACTGACCGTGAATTCCTGTTAATTTATCTCCATTTTAGGTTACTTTTCGGGAACCGGAAGCTGCCATGAGAGCCTGCGTGGATGCTGCTCCTGTAATTGATGGTAGGAGAGCTAACTGCAACCTTGCTTCTTTGGGTGTCCAGAGATCTAAGCCTTCAACGCCAAAGCATGGTCTGTATATATAAATAGAGAGATATACCAACTTTTCTTCAGCTTTCATGATCTAATAATCTCATCTAATCTGAGTTTTTTTTTTTTTATCTGAATTAAGGTTTTGAGATTGATATGCTGTATAAGATCTCCGAAAAAGATACATAAACTCATTTTTCTCCATTTCAGTTTTTCACTGTTCAAAGATGCGCTCATATATATATATATATATATATATATATATATTTCTTAATTATTCATATACTCTACGTACAAGTTCAATGTTAATGGATATTCCTCTCGCAAAACAATTGTTATTGTGTTTGAGCGAAACCCAATAAATCATAATATATGTATCGATCACTGTCAAAATATTCTTTGATAAGAATGGAAGACACACACAGCTAAATGGCAGCTAAGATTGAATATTCTTCCAGAATGGAAAGTTCCATCATGTTTTATCCGAGATCGAGTGAGTTTCATTTCATGTATATTTTTGGGAAACAAACGGAAAGAATGTCCCTTTGAGAAGCATGGAACCAAAGCACTCTACTGCATTTATTCCCTTTTTTGATTTTTTGGATTATTTTTTCTTTCTTTCAATAACTGAGTACATTTATCCTCTATATATGTTCTTAATTATATATATCAAGCTCATCAGACTCATCCTGATTATATTTTTTACTGAAACAAGCAATATTTTCTTTTCTTCAATAAGATTGCTAGAAGTAATATATATACTCTTAAAAACGTTATTTTTTTTATTTTATTGTAAATAACTTTGAAAACAATTATAGTGTTAAGTTTGTATATATTGATAAAGTATTGGTGTAATGATATATATTTGCAGGTGGAGGAGGAGGAGGAGGGAGGAACTTTAGGGTAATGAGTTCATTCCAGACAGGATATGGAGGGGGAGTGGGATCGGCTTTTCCTTCAGCAGCAACCTTCCCTCATTATGCCATCCAGCAAGGAATACCTTATAATGTTTATGGGTATGAATATACTTACCCTCTTTAATTATCGCATGCTACTCCTCTCTCTCTCTCATTTGTACTAAGGAGGGGATGGCACGTGCAATGCCAACTCATGCACAACAGAAAACCACCCAACATATTATTACTAATCAGTAACCAAGCATGCCTTTGCCAGTTCATCTGTGTTCTTTTATCACAGAATCAACCTCCACATGATCCCTATATGTAGCTTTTCCGTCAACCTTCTTTCTCTCTCTCTCTCTGTCATGTGCGGGGGGACACACACACACACACACACACAAAAGAAAAAACACACGACACACATGTATAAATAGTCTTCGATCCCTTTGACCTATATCTGTTAGCTAATCAAGTTTAATTTAATGTACGCCTTAATTTCATGAACCTCGGGTTCTCATATAAACTACACATTAATTAATATTTCTGTAGCCTCCTCGAGGCTATTTAATCTCATTCTCTCATGTATCTTATTTACTTGCTTTAATTTCAGGTACTCTCCTTACTCGCCGGATTACACTTACCCTACGGTTTGTACATATTTTACTTTTACTTTTACTTTGTCTGCTCTATGTCTTTTTCTTCGGATGCGTTTTGAAGCATAACCTTTAGGACACATTGGCTTTTCAACTTTCATGAAATCAACTATTTTCACTGTCTTCTCTCTCCTTTTTCTTTATTTCATTCAAATATTTCATTATTAGATTTCTAAATACAAGATAGGAAAATTTAATTGCTAATTCGTCTTCTACAATCTCCAATTCTATATAGGAAAATTTCTCCGATTTGTTACCAAATATTCTTCCTCTTTTTCCCTCAATCAGCTTGATTATTCCCATTTTTGCATAAGTACTGCTGAAACGATTGGGTTATTTTTTTAATTGCTAAATAATTATTAGTGTTACTCGGATCTTTCTTTTGAGAAATCGCTAATTAATAGCCTTAGTTTTGGAAATTATTTGGCGTTACTTTTTATGCAATTAAAACATTAAATTGGATCTTGTTTCTAAAAATAGCAACACGTTTAATCGCATTGTGGAAAATCAGAATCTTCAATATTTGAAATTCGGTCAATAAATCTTCATCGTCACAAAGAAGCTAAAGTAGCTATATCAAATCATGCAAGTCTAATTAGAAGTACATAAATATGGTCTGGACTCGCAATTACTTGAAAGATTCATCACTTATAATTATAATGAATTAAATTCACACACACAAACACGACATGCATTGGGCTTTTGTAGAATGAAAGAAAAAAAAGAATATTCTTTATACATAAACCAGCATTTGGGTGGCCGGGCTGAACAAAACAAAATAATGTATTTGCTAAAACTAACGAAACAAAGAGATTGGTGATAAAAGAAAATTCTCTTTATCCCTGTACGTGAGAAGATGATGGTGATGACTCTGGAATATTCTATACGAACATAGGAAACTAAAGGGTATAGTGGTAATTCCCGTCGAACTCCGACGATCTTATTTTTACTACATCCCATTATTGTATCCTGCGGAATGTGTAGTAAGTGTAGATGAACGTGGTAAGTCGGTGACTTTTGCACAGTTCCTATGATTGATTGATGACTCCTTAAATAAATGAATGAATGGATGAGCGTTGGTCAAAGTTTTCTTTGTCCTGTCTGTCAACCTTTTCTTTTATTATTATTATTATTATTATTATTATTATTATGGGGTTTGATTTTCTCATGTTAAATGAGAATTTAATTCTCATTTTGTAGAGATAAAAAGCATGTGAAACCCAGGTGTTAGAAAAAATTATACGTAGGACCCATGTCAGCACGAAAATCGGAGGGTGTGTAAAAAAATTTGAATTTTCATGTTAAATGAGAATTATAAAACTCTATTATTATTATCATTTATTTTGTTAGAGAGGATAACTGGGGCTTGTGGTCCATTTTCTGAGTCACACTTACACAGTCTTGTAAATTCAAGATATCCGTAGCGCCTAAAATTTTTAATTCACTGAATGCTAGTGGTCCACCATATTTAAATGATATTGAAACCTTGTTGTAATGTAACTTCCAAATTATAAAAAAAATACAATAGAATTAATTAATTAATTAATTAAAATTGATATATATGTGCTTGATTTATTAATTGATGTGAGAAATGATAAAAGAAGTAATGGAAAATGCAGAGCTACTATAGTGTGTATGGAGGAGCAACGGCACAGTACCCAGTTTATGGAACGGGACCAGGAGGGATGATGACGGGTGCTGCAGCAGCGGCAGCGTTTTACCCATATCTGCAATACGGAGGAGAAGGGAGTGGCGCCGCCGCCTCAACCGGCGGTTATAGTTCCGGTCAGGGTTACGGTGTGAACTACCCGCCTCAGCTGTTTCAGTATTCTCCGATTGGTTCAACTGGTGGATACGCGCAGCACTATGGAACACCCATGTCTCTTGCACCTTCCCCTGCTTTGCAATCAGGTAATTTGTACTCACTTGCTAATTAACTTTCACAAAGGAAAATGAATGAATTAATGGTTACGTTGGTTGTATATATGGTTTTTTGGAAATGCATGCATGAGACACTAACATCTTTGACAGTGTGTTTTGCTGTGCCACAGGCGTGACAATGGCTCTTCAAGCTCCGATTCCTCATCGCTAGAGACTCATCTCAAACTAGCTATGTCAAAACTTCCCAGTTGTCTCTCATCAACGTACCTTTGGCCTAACCATGGTGTTCTCTTTCACACACACACACGCACTCCTTTCACTAACACCAACAAGTCCATCAATGGCATTTGGGCTTTTTCCACGCATAAAAAAGAAGGCCCCCCATAGGGGCTAATTAAATGTTCCTCCACATTTGGAGAGTCATGCATGTCTATCCTCTTATTCCTTTCTCAGAAAAAAAAAATGTTGCATCTTTTTTGAATGAACGGTTCCTTGATGATCAAGAGAACCAAAATCACCAACACAAGCTATCGGATATAGTTGAGTTGGATGAAAAATGAATGGCAATGGCAAGGCTTAGCCCTGGAAAGGCTAAAGCCAAAGAACCATCTTGTTAACTTCAGCCCAAGACGGGCTGAGTGAAAATACAGAATGGTTTCAAAAATTGTAATTAAATATGGAGATCACACATAATAGGTAGCTCATCAACTAGAAATTAAGTAATTAGTTCTGCAAAAATTGGTATTCCCTCCAATCAGTACTGCTAATCACCTCTGGATGAAGAGGTGATTTTAGCAATCATGGACATTGGATGTCCCAGCTTTTTTGTATGGTAACATCTAGCTAGTCTTAGGCTTTAGCATTAGGATCAGTCATGTCTTCATAAATGCTTTATTCATTTTTCTTTCACAAAGAAAAAGGGTTTAACCAACCAATCAATTAACCATCGATCTTCCCTTTGGGTAAGGGGAGGCAATAACTAACTACTGTTTTTTACTTGTAAATTCATTGCGGCTAAACTGTGGGAGTTTAAGCCCAATTCACTAATCTTTAGGAGGGTTAGTGTTTTGTTTTTGCACTTAGCGTATGTAGTAGTACATTTCATCATCATCTTGAGAACTACGTCAATGGATGTGGAACTCAAAAAACCTTGCATGTAACCCTGGGAGATATTTTGGTTCCCTCGGGCGCTTCACTTACTCACCAACCATGGTTAGGACATAGGTGAATCTCATCACTCTCTCTCTCTCTCTTTCTCGATCACTTCCTTTATGTCTATTTCTGGCAACTTTTACATCGAGATGGACCATGATACTCTTTATTAATTATTTGTTTAAGCCTATATGGTTTGGATTGTAATTAGGAATGCTGAACTAGGGGGATTTCATTCTCTATCCTTGCTGGATGAGAATGGATTTGCTACTTATTTTACTATGTCTTCAATATTTTGATATTATGCTTGCTTCTGCTCAAACTATGTCAAGATAATCAAATCAAGCTAATGCTTCAAGCAATGTTAAATTTTTTGTTATTTCTCAACCGGGGATATTTTCTAACATAGCAAGGTCTGGTTTTATGCTAAATGTGAAATTTATAGAGTGGTGTAGTCGAGTTCTCCCTGAAAATTAGGGATATGTTTTATGGTATTTGTGTTTTTTTTTCTTCTTAAATCTTTTTTTTATGGAATAATTAATGAAATATGTGTTTTCTGTATTTTTTTTATTTTGAAAGTTAAAAATTAAAACATAAAACAAAAACAATAGACGTGTTCTCTAAATTTGATTATGAAACAAAAAAACAGTTATAATTTTTAGAATTATTTGTCCAAAAAGTCCTTATCAAACAGATTTTTTAATTTTTTTTATGAAAAATAAAAAACTCTTTTGAAAAATAGTATTCAAACAGGCGTAGGACTTTTTAATTCCCAACCCACCATAACGAAACCTTTCAAGACCCTCGTGTATGTTCCAAGTCATTTGGCATAGAGTTTAAAACTCGCTTGAACCAGTTCTATCCAGTTCATGATGACATGGTAGGACAGACTACGGAGAACTGAATCAATAAAGAACACCAGCTGTAGCACTGTTATGCTTGTCGGACAGCAAGAAAAGATTGAAGTCTCTGAAATCACAAGAACGGGTAAACCTCAAATAAATGCTTACTTGTAAATGCCCTTAGCAAAGTTTAATTGCTTTTGCTCCATGTGTAACAAACCTTGACATAATTTATGTAACTAAATTGGTTGTAAAGGTTATGTAACTGGGTAGAGTGTTAATTAGAAAAAAAAGGAAAAAGAAAAAGAAAAGGAAAAGAGTGTTGACAAAGGCTCAAAACCATGTGGGCAAACAAAAAAAAAAAGAAAGAAAAGAGAGAGGACTATCCAATGAATAATATTATATCATGTAAAGGCTGAAATGGCCAGCCGACAAACCAAATAAATTTTCAAAAGTTTCCTTCGTGGATTTACAACTTGTAGTCCATTATAAACATATATTTATCAATATTTCACGATGTTTGAATTACCTTTACGCTATAAGCTTATATTGTTACATGAATGACAACAGTTTTTGAAACCAAGTTCTAACTTCATTGATTCAATCCACTAAAACAGGCCAAACTCCCCACAATCTTCTGTTTCCCCTAAATGATTGGCATTCTCTTTGCGTGGAGCCATAGATTGCGCACTAGTTCCAAAATCACGAAATTTGGGGAGCTCGGGTGGTGCTGCACACCGTATCAGAGCCCAATTGAGGCCTTCAAAGAAGGAATGCTGCTTTATTTCAGCAGCACCTTTTACAGAACCAAATCTCCTTTCAGGGTCTTTTATTAACAATCGTCTGATCAAATCTCTTGCTTGAAGACTGACAATAGGAGCATCAGGGAACTTAAGGCTCTGTGACACTACATTGGCCAATGTATCTTCATTTGCAGGGCCTTTGAATGGAGTCTTACCATATAAAAGCTCAAACAAAAATATACCAAAAGTCCACCAATCTACAGCACTCCCATGACCCTCACCTTTGATGATCTCTGGAGCAAGGTATTCATATGTTCCAACAAAAGAGTTAGAACGTGCACTAGTAGGCTCCACTACAAGCTGTGGAAGTGGACCAACCTGAGCAGCTATATCAGCCTTAGTTTTTTGAGATTTTGCTCCGGTTGATAATAGAATCGGAGTAAAGCATGAGACCTGCCAATTTGGTTGGAGACAGAAAGGATGTATGCAGTTAGCCTCAGAACAAGGGCTGGACATCTTTCTTTGGTTCACCTCTGGTGAAGATGCCTTGACTACCATTGGATTGACAGAACATCTGAGTGACAAGTCAAAATCTGTCAGCATAATATGGCCATCTTCTCGTACTAGGATATTTTCAGGCTTCAGGTCTCGATATACAACTCCTAGCATGCGCAAATACTCCAGGGCAAGGAGAACTTCAGCAACATAAAACCTGGTAATGTAATGTCATGAATTTAGTCAAGAAAATGTGTGGAATAGTAGTTATGACAACATCACCCATGACAGAATGTGATAATTTTGTCTCCATTGACAATGACAGAGTTTTCCATGCAGGAAGAAAACACAACATTGCCCTTGAAGAACCACATTACCAAGTCACCGACTTTAAAGGAATATGTTAGCCAACCCCATTAGAAAGAGAAAATCTTTTATAAAACTATTATCTAGCCTAGGCATCAACCAAAAGCTCTGAGTGCTAAATAGCTTGAGAACATCATATCATGCTAACTACACAAGATTTAGTCTCAAAAGAGAAAAGGAGACTTCTTTAATGATGATGAAGAGGAAAGACAGGAAACATCCTACCTGGCTGCTTGTTCCGAAAAACTCCTACAGGGTTGCCTCTGCCGCAGCACATGCAGATCTCCACCTGGACAATACTCCATAACCAAGCAAGAGAGCTTACCTGTTGCAATATAGGCATAAAGCGTAGGAAGAAACGGATGATCCAGCATCTGCAGAATCTCTCTCTCTGTTTGTGCCCTGCACATTTTCTTCCGGCTTGCCAAAAATTCATTGTCCATCACTTTCAGTGCAAAAAGGCAGCCTGTACCAATTAGTTCCGCAAGATAAACAGTTCCAATGTCCCCACAACCAAGCCTCCTGAGCAGTTTGAAGTGCTTCAAACTTAAATGACCATACCGCTGCTGAACAACAAAAATTGCTTCCCATCTCGAGTGTTTTGACATGTGAGGTCTGTGGCCACTGCTAGTGGAAACACTTGGATTGCTATCCTCACTGATGCTTGTACTAGCCCTATACTCACCAATGCTACTTTTTGAACTTTGGGAGAACTCACCCTTTTCCTTTGATCTTGATTTATCATCAATTTTTGTCACCTGAAACTTAGTTCTCCTTTTACTAGTCAAACTGAAACCAAGTTTCCTTGAATCCATGCCAACATTAACTGAGTAAACTTCAATGGTATGATTTGAACAGCTGAGGGATAGTTTCTCGTTTTCTTTCATTTCATTCTTTAAATCAGAATTGTCAGTCACCTTGTTCAAATTACTTGTACTAGAAGCCAAATTATTGCCATTATTTCTGGTACATGAAGTGGAGCAGCTCGAGGAAGAACATAAATCTTGCTTTTCTTTTTTCATAAGAAAGTTCTTGTCCTTGAAAATTGGCTTTGCCAAAGATGTATTATTTCCTGTGGGCTTATCCACTCCATTACCAGTGCCAGAACTAGGTGGTGAAGCCGGAGAAATTAACTTTGCTTCCATCCCCTTATCTGGCGTTGAAGAACTGAGAGAATCTTTGCTGGAGGAAGCAGGAACTGTTTTTAGTCTGACCTCCAACACTTCATCGCTTGCATAGGCAACTGAAGATGAATTTGCAAGTATTTGTTTTCCCAGCCCAGTGACTAGCTTCTCAGCCTGAGCTTCTGATGGAAGAGGAACAATTTGATTTCGGTATGCTGATCTGGTTGTTTTTGGGTTTGTTGCATCAACAAAAGGAATAGAATGATGAGCACTTGAAGTTGAAGTTGATATCTCGTGATTCTCGTTGCTGCACAATTTATCAGAAGGCTTAGATATCTCGGGCACATGGGAGATTTCCACCAAGTCCCCTTGCCGCTCATCTACTACTTCTGTATACAACTTTTTGATGGTTCCAGCCTCCGATACTCTTGATGATTTGGGTGACTTTGACAGTCGCTTCAAAGCAGCCATTTCTGATGCCTGTGAGATGCACAACCCTCTAAGTGCCTGCTTTAAACTTACAGGTTCTGAGATGCCAATTTCTGAGGCCCTAGATGAAGTGACTCTCATGGGCTTTTTAAGAGCACTCTTCTGTGAATGTGAACGTGGTGTATTAGGACCTCTGGCTGAATTTTTAATATCAATGGCATGGAAAAGACTATTGATATCATCCTCAATAGAATATTTTTTTCCTAATTTGTGGGCACAACTACTCTCAGGCTTCTCATATACTTTGAACTCAGAAATGATCTCTTCCACTATCTCACACTTACTGGAATTGGATGGTATATCCATATTTGCTAGATGTATTTGATGAGGAGATAAAACTATAACCCAAGAAACTTAATATCAGCCTGATTGTAAAGATGAGACAAGAAGAGAAAATAGCAGGCAAGTCACAAACCACACAGGGAATCCTCCAAATTTATCTTTAGTCATACTTCTCTCAAGAATTGATCGGTTGACTTGAATCCATTTATTGATTTACAAAAATGAAGCATTCGAACCTGGTCTGGCAATTTGCAATATTTCAGATTAGTTTAAACTTCAAACAAGATTAGTGCTTAGTGCAATCAGTGAGAGTAGGTATTTGTTGATTAGTGGATATCAAGGCTAAATTAAAAAAGGATCAAAACAGACAGATTTATCGTACATTAGAATTCGAGTTACAATTATACAAAAGCAATATTGGTTTTAGAGCCTAGTAGAGACGAGGGAAATTCAATGGAAGTGAGAGAGATTTGACTAGAAAAGAAAAAGAAAAGAAAACTAAACAAAAAATAATCAGGCTTGAAAATCAAAAAGGGGAGAAAAAACCCAAACTAAAAAAAAAAAATGAGCTTTACAACTAAACTGCCAGATCAAAGTTAATCTAGCAAACACAGCAACAAGAAAAATGAAATGAACGCGAAAAGGAAGAAAAGTTGAACAAAAAAAAAAAGTGATCAAGTTGGGCAAAGTTAGAAAGAAGGACAGAAACATTACCTAAAACAAAATCAAAAGCCCAGAACATAGTGCGGACGGAGAAGCCAGAAGGCAAAAACTTTGTGGTGAAAACATGACCAAAGGCTAGGGTCTGAGAGAGAGAGAGAGAGAGAGAGATGGTTGGGGGAAGTGAATGAGGAAAGAGAGAGGAAAAAGGTTGAAATGAAACGAGTAGCATAAAGAGAGAGAGAGAGAGCAGTTGAAGTTTTGAATAGAACTAACTAGATGTTGAGGAAGAAAGCAGGTGTAGTGTTACGTTTGTTTGTTTGTTTGTTTACGTTGAATTGAATGTAACTGTAATGGCGGAAAATTCATGTGTATGTGTTAATAGAAGGCAGCACAGCACCTACAACGAAAAGAGAGAGGACAGAGTTAGCACTTGCACAGTCACTCATTGGACCCACTTTAAACCCTTCCCCTCCTCAGCTCAATCGTACAAACTGACACGTCATCCATAGAAATGTGAGTCCATTTGGATAGTTGTTTTTTTCTCCAAAAATTAATTTTAAAAAAAAATAAATCCGTTTAGATATTTATTTTAAAAAAAGTATAAGTCATAAAAAAATCAAAAAAAAAAAAAAATAGTTACAAATTTTAGCTTATAAAAAAAATCAAAAATCAAATCCAAATATTTAAAAAATAAAATTAAATAACCTTAACTTTTATAAAAATCATTTCTAACATAAATAAGACATAAAAAATATTTTTTTGGAAGCTCGTCCAAATGGGTTATATGTCTCAATAAAACATCCATCTTTATCCGAAAAGATCACACCACTCACTTAACTATTGTATTAAAATATCAATAGATATTTATGGTCAATGAAAGTATGAAACTGAAATTGATTTATGGATTTATTATTTTTATGGGATAAGTATATATTTATAAAAATATGTTGCAGAAGAGAGAAAAAAAATAGTAAATTTATTGAAAATTAATTCTCTTTTTAGCTAATATATCAATTTATGTGCTGCTATTTTTTAATAATGAATGGACCCACACATAAGTATATATATGATAAAAGATATCTTATCTTCTAGTACATAATATTAATAAAATCCTAATGATCTAAATTTATTGAATTGTTTCATGCACCGTATAATCGATGGCATGTGAGATTATCATTCACAATAGCTATAAATTTCACGTGTCCCATTTAGAAAGTGTTCTTATTTAGGCTCTTGAATTTGTATTGATGAAAAGTGCGTAGGACATGTGACATAAAGGTTGCAACACACGAGAAATTAACAAGATTTATAGCCCTTGGTTGCTACTGCGGGATGGATACTCTTGAATACAAATTTTACATGACCAGGTTTTATAAAAAAAATTATATTTATCTCTTTTTCATTAAAACAGAGATAAATACAATTTTTGTTAGAAATAATCAAGTGTAAATAGTGATAAAATCCCACATCATTACATCTATTAGAAATATTCTAAGTGAGTATCAAATAAGGGCAAAAAAGACTCATACGACTTAAACTTTAAGGTTTTGGGTTGAAATGTAATGTAAGTTTTTTTATTGTGATTTGTTATTTGACTCATTGATAAAAGAATCAAATTAGTGTAACACCCTCCCTTGTATGCATCCAAGAGAGTTGTTTGCTAAGCGGAATTAGAGTTCTTTTGTCTATATTTTAAATTCTGGAAAATCATTTTGATGTTGCTAATTAAAATTTATAATTGAAATCAGATTACTTATAAAAATCAGAGTATGCTTTCAAAATTTTCTTAAGTTGCTGAGAATATAATTTTCCTGGCAGACCTTGCTGTCTTTAAAAATTCGTATAAAATCAAGTTTTCAAAACTCTTTTGTAACGTTTATATAATCAAAAACTAGACACGCGGGGCTTCGCGTGCATATAAAATAATAGTAAATCGGAGGTCGTTTGCCCTTTGTAACGTAACTCGCAAAGTGCTCGCAAAACTGTTCCAAAATCAGCATGTAACAAAACGTCAAAATTTATTTTCGCAAAATGTTTCTAAAATTTATTTCCAAGTACTTGCTGATCCTAAAAGTCTTAAAACAGTAGTAAAATCATAGTTCAACAATAATACAACTTCTCAAATTAATACAATCATCCCTCAAATAAACAGCAACAACAAAAGTCCAAACAGCAGCACATAATAGCAAATATCCATATAATCATGTCTTCATATGCTCTTCTGTCCTCCTGCCATTTTATAAAAATAGCAGCCCCAAAGGGGTGAGAAAAATCTCAGTAGTGTGGCGATAAAATCAATACAGCAACAATATTAGACTAGGTACAAAATTCCAAAACAGTCGCATCAACATTTAATTTTCCGAACATATGCTAATATATAATCAGAGTGCGTTATAACGCCAAAGTACTAACCATATTGCGTATATAACGCCAAAATACTAATCAAGATGCGTATATAACGCCAAAGAGTACATTCATAGCACCGTCGTGCACGTACTAACAAGCACAATGGAGGTCCCTCCCTTAATGGCTCCTCAGAGGGTTCCAACTGCAACCTATGCAGACTGAAGCCAAATGTCCCATACCCTGGTACCGTAGGGATGCCTATATGATGCGTGCTCAAACGTATGCTTATATTTATTATATACTTCAGTCTCCAAGATGAATGCAAAATGCTGTATGCGATGGCATGTTCGACACACACACAAACAGACACAGGTGAAACATGATGTGCAAATGCATGACTAAATCATATAGCATATATCTCTTGTATATTTAATACCAAGCTGCCGAATAACAAACACTTCCATAGTCAGAATTTTCCATCATAACAAGTCCAAGGCAGATTTCATATAACATATAACAGAATACGAGTCATAAGGCACATGTGAGCATCAGTTCAAAATTCCATACTCTAGCTAATAGTTGGGCTCCCTCGTACCATTCTCAATAATGATATCAAAGCCAACGGTCCCATATCATTCTCAACAAATTTTACATGATTAAATTATATGAAATTTTAATACGAGAGGATCTACTCCCGTTACGACTGGTTTCAATCACAAAGCTTTGAAATTGACGCTATCATGCCCACCCAGAAAAGAGAGAGGAAAGAATGCTTTTGCTTATCTGTGTGATAATGGTGCTTTATGAGTTATTTAGTTTACTTACAAATTTATATAAATATAGGGTAATTGTACTCTTATGTGTCAGCAAAATTTTTTTGTCTCCTGCACACTTAACCTGAAGTGGAGCCCAATAAAAGAGAAAATAAAAAAAAAAGAAACGACACAAGTATCGATGTATGAATGGAAGATAAGAAAATTTTCCTATTGCATAAGAGCAGTGTTGTAAAACTTGGCCCGACTCGGCCGGGTCGACCCGGGACCCAGAGACCCGGTCATCAGACCGGTTCGGGTCAAGCATTGGACCGTTTATGCATCGACCCGATCAAAATCGGTCAAAACCGATGACCCGGTGACCCAGTGACCCAGACGGGTCATGCATTTAAAAGAAAAACAAATAAACAAAATTATTTCATCTTGTCAGAAAAAATGTAGAACTCATTTTAATTTTTTTTTGTACTTTTTTTTGCTAATATACTTTTCTACAATGACCTCCAATTTCAACTTTTAATACTGAAGCAATTTGCGAAATAATAAATTAAGAGATTATAACATGTCATTTTTTGTGGTAAAAATGACGTATGTCGTTTTTAATGTAGTTGAATTTGAAAAATATGAGTTCAATGTCATTGAGATGTATGTTTATAGGGATTCTGAGTTGCAATTTAAATTGAAATAGAAATAGTATACATTTTTATTTATTTATACTTCATGTTTTTGAGCTTATTTAATGAATCTTGTTTAATTCATTTTAGATATGAAGAATATAATTGAATTTACATGTTCATATTTATATATCTATTTATATATCTATATATATCTGGGTCACCCGGTCCGACCAGTGACCCAGTACTCCGACCGGGTCGATGGCCGGGCCAGGTTTAATAACATTGCATAAGAGTAACATTGCCCATAAATATAATATGGGGTTTTAAGTTTCTCTTGTCACATGAGAGACTTTCTGTCCTCTGCACAGAAAAAAATAATGTAAAGGCTCTTTATATTTAAAAAAATTAATTAAATATCTTTTGGGTCAGCAACAATAGGAATGTAAATGAGTCAGATTGGCCTACAAGATCCTACAACTTGACCTATCGGAGAATTAGATTAGAATTAGGCTTATAAACTAGCCTTTTAAAAAAATAGGCCATAGGCAAATTAAGTAACAGCCTGTTTAATTTTTTAAATAAAATAATATATTCATCAATTATCATAAATATTATTTATCTATCCTAA